TGTTCTTCTGCTTCTCACTGTGTATTTTAAATTAACTAAGTTAACCACATGACTTACGACTCCTAATTTGTTCTGTGAGCATTTCTGTTCAAAACTTGCTTAGTTTGTCTGGTAGTGTATTTGGAGACTACCATTGCATCAACAAAATTGCCCACAAGATAGCAGTTATAAATCACCTAAAAATTACTGATACAGGCTTTTTGAATTAAACTGAATACTACGCTATTCAATTTGCTCTGCATGCAACAGATACTTAGTTTGTTTCTGCCTCTAGACTCTCTCTTGAACCATTGAATGAACTTGAATTAATTTACCACTTGATTTTCCCACACCTGCTCTCTTTTTTAGGTTTAGCCTCATGTCTACATTCAATGGCACCTACTACCAGCCACCCTTCTTCCTTCTTTCAGGAATCCCAGGGCTAGAGGGGTCTCACATCTGGATCTCCATCCCACTGGGCATCATGTATGTAATTGCCATCCTGAGGAACAGCATCATTATTCACATAATACACAAGAATCTCAGCCTTCACGAGCCTCAATATGTGTTCTTGTCCCTGTTGGCAACCACTGATATAGGCATGTCAGCATCTACACTGCCTACTGTACTTAATGTCTTTCTCCTCAACCACAGAAGGATTGAGTTCCATGGTTGCCTGGCTCAAATGTTCTTCATTCACACCTTCTCTTCCATGGAGTCAGCCATCCTACTGGCCATGGGTTTTGACCACTCTGTTGCCATATGCAACCCACTGCGCTACACTGCTGTCCTGATGCATTCCCACATTACTCAGATGGGATTGGCTGCTGTGGCTTGAGGAGTGGCCCTGATGGCCCCCTTGCCCATCCTGCTCAAATGGCTTCCCTTCTGTAAGAACATCAATCTATCCCACTTATTCTGTTTCCACCCTGACATGATGAAGCTAGCTTGTGGGTCCATTCATGTGAATATCATTTATGGGCTGGCATTAGTTCTCTGCTCCTTTGGTGTTGACTCTGTCTTTATTGTTCTGTCTTATACTTTGATCTTGAAGACAGTTCTGGGCATTGCTTCCAGGGAAGGATGGCTTAAGGCACTCAACACATGCATCTCCCATATTGCAACTGTCCTAATTTTCTATGTCCCATTTATTGCCTTAGCTCTAATCCACAGGATAGGCAAATACCACTCCCCTCTCCCCCATGTCACTGTGTCCAACATTTTCCTTTTCCTCACACCTGTCCTCAACCTTCTGGATTATAGTGTGAAAACAAAACAGATTAGAAGGGCATTATGTAGACTGTTTGTACTCAAGATAAGATGATGGAACAGAGTGGGATCCCTTTGAGGGACTGATTGAAAGGTACCAGGGATATTGAAAAAAAAAGGACCAACAGACATTATTTTCATGTGTTCTGAGGCACTTTATTTGGTACATCTCTATATGGTTTACCATAGTATTTCTAGAAACATAATATTCCCCTCTAGTTTTAAATATTAGATCAAGAAAGATTCCTAAAGCTCATTTCACCTTCACTCATATATATGTCATTCTTGGTGTTTACACCACTTACCTATGAGCCCATTTCAATCTAAACAATCCTATAGATATCTCTCTCTCTGAGACTCCCTCCTATATAGCTATATGGCTGAAATCTGATTTAAAATAAAATATTTATATTGTTATACAGACATTTATTATCTTTGGGCAGTTTGAGATATTATAGAGGGAAATATTCCAAATGAGAGAAAGGAAGGTTTATTTTCATAATTTTTATTTAAATTTGTTTCATATTTTAAGATTCTTTTTCTGAAACCATACCAGTATAAACCCCATATAACACAAAAATTCAGTGAAAGATTAGGGCAAAAATGTAACAAAGCAGATACCTTAAAATCTACCATTTATGTAATGTATACTTGATTTTCTCAGGTTGTATTAATTTAGATTTCATATTTAGTTGAAGATATAAGTATATAGTGCTTAAGCTAAAATCAGAACTTTGTGGGGCACCTGGGTGGCTCAGTTGTTAAGCATCTGCCTTCTGCTCAGGTCATGATCCCAGGGTCCTGGGATCGAGCCCCGCATCTGGCTCCCTGCTCAGCGGGAAGCCTGCTTCTCTCCCACTCCCCCTGCTGTGTTCCCTCTCTCGCTATATCTCTCTCTGTCAAATAAATAAATAAAATCTTTAAAAAAAATTAAAATCAGGACTCTGTAACTTATCTGTTATGTATCCAGGGATCATAGTGACCCAGATTTCTGTGCCTCAGTGTCCTCATCAGCGAAAAGAAGTTAATAGTGGTATCTACTTTTAAGGACAGTATAAGAAGAAATGTGATAATTAATGTAATGTGTTTATAACAATGTCTGGCATATTGCAAATGTTCAATAAATATTAACCACTTCATTCTAGACCAAAAATATGGTAGAGGACAAAGGCCAAGCCAGGATTTAAACAAAAATACAAAAGAATAAAGCCTTCTATAATTCAGATGATGATATCAAAGGTGACCAGAGAATAATATAGTTGTTCTCTAGTTCAAAGATATATTTAAAGGTCTCTTTTTATATATATTTTATAAAATGTTTTTATTTGCAAATGTGTAAAAAGCTTCAGACTAGGTTTACATATTTCATATTTGTGTTATCATATTTATACGCTCAATATTGTCATTGCAGATCAAGGACAGGCTTCAAATTCTCTATATATACTAGTGATGCCTCCAAATTAACTTCAACAGAGCACAGCTGGACATTATTATTTCATCCACTTTTAATCAAGTTATGTTAATTCATAACATAATGAACATTAATTAATGGTTCATTAATTTATTGATTCAGTAATCATATTTAATTCTGCTTTTATTTTTCAGCTTTTGTCCTTCATTCCTCCTTATTTTACATCTTTACACAACTATTCTTGGCATTCACGATATGCCACACTTTATGGGACAGATGAATCAGACAAAAATGCCACCATTTAGAGAAGTACTACTGAGTGAGTGAGACAAAACAGGAATAAATTGACCATATTTTAAGACAGAATCAAATAAACTATTCAACTCACCTCATAATAAACAGGACATGCCATTAAGTTGCCTCACTATTTTATTTATAAGTAAAGGAATGTGAACCAAAATATCAGAATAGGTCACAGATTCAAAGGAAGGATCTCAGGACCTGAGTGTAAGGACTCAAAACTGTCATATCACTTTTTTTTTTCCTGGAACAACCTCTCATGTCTGCTTCTATTCTACTCATGCTCTCCCAATGTAGCATTGCTTCCACAAAGCTATGGAAGATGATGACCACATGTGATATGGTCTCTTTCCAGTGTTACAAACAGAAAGGGGACTCTTTCACACTAACTCTAGCATAAAACATGAAGGAGAATTTCTTCAGTTTTTAGTATCTGCAGCTGAAAGATTAGGGGAGGGATTTATTAGAATTTTTATATTATTGGTCTCACCCAAACTCTACAGACAAGTAAGGAGTTCCTCAGAGGAAAACTGTGCACTGTTTTCAAAAAATGAAATAGTTGCTGTGAAATGATCCCCAGTTCTCTACATGCATACTTAGTGAAGTCAGAGTTAAGAGGTTTTTGACTAGAAAGACTCACAATAAATAAAAAGATTAAACCAGGCCTTAAAAGATGAAGAAGCAGTTTAAGAATCAGAATTTCATTTTATTTTTTCAGGGTGTAGAGTACACTTCTCAAGTAATATCTCCATAAAGGCAAAGACCATACTTTTTAAAAATAACTGCTTTTATCCCATTAATACCTAACAGATTATAGTTTACTCAATGCTTTTGGAATTGAGATAGATTTCAAGCTTCTCTAATCTTTCTTCTCTTGATCTTGTCTGCCTTGCAGACAGAAGTTCCTGATGAACCCAGTCCTCACTAGCTTACTTTCCTCTGAATTCATATTAACAATTTAAACCAAGACTCAAACTCAATGACTACCTTCTGCAATATGGTTTGCTGCTGTTTCCTGGTTTCCATTGGTATGAATATTACTTTTATGTCTTCTATGTAATTCTGATGTCTACTGGATATGTCAAACAGACATTGAAAATATTTTCTGATTGATTACTTGGGCTATCATTTAGAAATTCATTCAAAACTTTCTTAAAGTAGCTTGAAATTCTTGCTAATTTTACCACATGCTTATTCATTGCCATGGACAATTAAGTGTCTCTCTGTAATTTGCCTCCTGTGCTTATCTCTATGCAAGACAATTCTTCATTTGCTTATGACTCTAATTTCAAGAGTTGACCTGAGAAAAGAATAAACTAATTCATTTTTCCTCTTGGAAAGTTAGAAAAAGGAGATGTATCCTTCCTTCAGCCATCAGAATATAACCCTATCTACTCTCAGTATGAAATGGGAAATAAAACAAAATCTAAATAAAGAATGAATTCTGAATGAGTAAGCAAGATGAGTAACAATAACCATTTCTCAGATTCTTATATATTATTCTTTTCAGACAGCTTCTCTGTATTTTGTTAAAAGTCAGAATGTTCAGATATTAGACAGTATCCGACTACAAGTAGTAGACAGGAAATAAACATATAGTCATAAATTTATCATCAATTTTGAATTTTCATGCTTCAACTTAAACAACATTGGCAGTCAAGAATCAGGCAACATCCTGTTTTCTCTATAAAACTAGCCCCTCATTGACCTTTTACAATCCAGAGTTAGACTCCTCAATTTAGCACATGGAGCAATGTGATTTTCATCTGACTCATACACCAAACACATTGAGCTTGGGTTCCTGTTGCCATTTCTCCTTACCACTACCAAACAGTCATCATTCATGACCACAGTTATGGTCATTTATTCAAGCATTCTGCCTCTCTCTCCCTCCTTAGTTAGATTAGGTATTTCTTGAGGGGAAGATTAAAGTATTTTTTATTTTTGAATTCATGGTGCTTAGCATACTACTTGGCACATATTAGATCCTGAATAGCATTTTTTCATTGGTCATTCCTTTTGATATAGAGAAAAAAAAACATCATTCCCCAGCAATAACACGTTGCACCCAAAATCACTTGTGCAGGGCAGCCTGGATTGGCCGGGATTTGAGACTGTAGACGACAGCGTTGAGCAGTGGTGTCATGAGGAGGTAGGCATTACTCATGGTGGTGTATAGAATTGGAGAAGTGTCCTGGGTATAGCGATGCAGCATTGCCAAGCTGATGAGGGGCAGGTAAAACACAAGCACCGTGCATAGGTGACAGGCACAGGTGTGCAATGATCTCCAGTTTCTGTCTTGAGTCTCCAGCTTCATAATAGTGCCCAAGATCTTCACGTACAAAGCTAAGATGAAGACCACATCCACTGCAAACGTGCAGAGTACAAAAACAAATCCATAGGCACTGCTGAAAGAGACATCCCCACAAGCCAGGTTCAGCACATCTGGATAGTAGCAATAAGAGTGTGAGAGGATATTGGCCCCACAGAAAGGAAAGGTCCTAAGGAAAAAAGGCAGAGGAGCCAGCAGAGTGGCACCTCGTACGAGGGCAGCTCCACTAAGGCAGGCAACAGTAGAGTGGGTGAGGATCCTGTTGTAATTTAGTGGAGCACAGATAGCTACCAAACGGTCAAAAGCCATGGCCACCAGGACACCTGATTCTACTGAGGACAGCGTGTGGATGAAGAACATTTGGGTTAGGCAGGCATCCAGGCCAACATGGCGAGCATCAAACCAGAAGACAGCCAAGACACTAGGCATTGTAGACAACGAAAGGCCTAGGTCAGTAAGGGCAAACACGGCCAAAAAATAGAACTGAGGTTCATGAAGATTCTGCTCTGCTGTAACTAGGATAAGCAGAAGAGCATTACCCACAAGGGCTATGAGGTACAGGACACAGAAGAGGGTGGAGATCCATATATGTGCAGCCTCCAGACCAGGAATACCAATGAAGGAGAAAGTAGGCCAATTAGAGGCAGTGCTATTAAAAGCCAACATGGTAGGATGTATGTAGGACAGTAGTCCAAGATGCTTGCAAACCTATAAAGGAGAGACCATGTGTCAGGAAATTTGAAAGCCAAATTTAAAGTAAATAGATTATTAATGCACAGAATTATCAAATTAAGATATGGAGAACTCAAAATTGAATTTATATTTTTATCTTCATAATTATTTCTTTTGATACGTGGATGGCAATTAAGCAAACATGAAAAGATGCTCATTGTCATTGTTTATTAAGTAAATGTAAATGAGAAATTCAATAAGATACTATTAGTAGAATGGCTAGAATTAAACTGAAAATGCTATATGTTGGTGAGGATGTGAACAACAGGAACTTTCATATATGGAACATAAATGGTGTGGCCTCTTTGGAACACATTTTGGCAGTTTCTTATAAAATTACACATGCACTTCTCATACGGTTACCATCATCCAGTAACTTCACTTCTAAGAGTTTTTCCAAAAGAAATAAAAATTCATATTCACACAAAGACTTGTACACATTTATTCATAACAGCTTTATTCATAATAGCAAAAAAAAAAGAAACCAAATATATAACCACTACTGATTGGACAAAAAAACTGTGGCCAATCCATATAATTTAAATTGAAAAGGAAGAAATTACTAATAGATGCAATGGCATGAATGGATCACTTACACCATGTGAAAGAAACAAACATAAAAGATCAAATGTTGTATGACCTCATTTATATGAAATTCTAGAAAAGACAACATCGTAGTAATAGTTGATCAGAAGTTTCAGAGATGAGCCAGGAGTGTGAAGAGATTGGCTGCAAAAGATAAAAATGTCCCATACCATGACTGATTACATGACTTTATATGCTTTTAAAAAATTCTTCAAATTCTACTATTAAAAGTGACAATTTTATTGTAGGTAAGTTCCACCTCAATAAAGTTGACCAAAAATATGATTTTTGTATGAAGGATAACTTTTTAATTATTCTAAATCTGTAGTACATCAAAAAGTATCTCTTCAGGATATCTTCTCCAAATCCTTCCTTTCAACTCATTCATAAAGGAAATGTCACTGTCATTTGTGAAATAACTTGACCACATCACCAGAAATTTATTATATCTGAGATGAGTGCCAGGCTATGTTTTTTACACATTCACCTATCTGACTCTGATTTAAATGGTCCACATCCCATACCGAAAAAAAAATAAAAAGCTCTATGTCCTCTTTAACATTTTTGTCAACAGTGTCTTCAAAGAGCTGTAGCACCCTACACGCATTCTATCCCTTAGAAATCTAAAGCTGCCTTTGGACAAAAAGCATAGCTTCTCTATTTCAAACTGGTTTACTTATCTGCTCCTCTTCTCTTCTGAATCATATAAAATTTCTGGGCAAATTGAGTACTCTGAAGGTTTCAGTTAATTCCCAAATTTTCATACTCAACACAGATATGTTTTCTGAATATATATTCAGTTGACCCATAGATATCTCTACTCAGATGTTTCAGAGGAAATTCAAGTATATACCCTAAGCATAAGGGCTAATATAACCCCTGTTGATGCTTACAACTTTTTCTTGTGCTTTCTTCAGAAATATCCCTCTCTATTACATGCCTCGTGAATTTCTCTTCAGTCTTAAAAATTAATCTTAAATTTATCTCATCTAGAAAGTATTCCTTAATCCCCTCACAAAGAATTAAACAAACTTTCTTCTTTGGTACCTTTTAATGCTTCTATCATTACACCCACAAAGTTTTGAATTTGTAATTATTTTTCTGCTCTGTGGACTAGTCTGCAAGTACTTGAGATTACAAGCTTCTTTATTTCTCAAAATGAGATTTTTTTCCTGAAAAATCTTATGTATTATGATAAACAATTTATATAAGTAAATGATTGACTTCTTTAAGAATGATTGAAGTAAGTTGCTTGATTTCACTAAATCTCAGGGTTTTTTTCAGTAAATTTGTAATAATCTTACTATATTAAATGGTGCTGTGAGGATTAATTGTATGAGGTACAACAAAAGCATACCACACACTCACTGACTAAAACTTACCAATAAGCATTTGTTTCTTGGCTTTCATAATACCTAACACAATACAAATGTATGTGTAAGCGAATTGTAGACATTAGAAAAATCCCTAACTTCACTAGAACACACAGTGATCAATATGAAATATTAAAATATTTCTGCAAAATAATAAAATCTCACATTATTTTATAGTCTAAGATTTCATATTAAAACCATGTATCCATTTTATTAAACATTATAGTATATGAGAGAAGTGATATATATATATAAACTAAATTATATATACATATATATCAGTCTATCTATCTATAGCTATCAAATCTCTTCCATGTGTTATTTATATTTTTGAAAGAATTGTGAAAAAGCAGTAAGGTCATAGTTGATCAAACCAATATTCCAGGTCAATAAAAGAAGCTTGAATATATGTTGTATAAAGAAAAGAGGCAGCAGAAAGAGAGATAGAGAGGCAGAAAAAGACAGGGGTACAGAGGGAAAGAAAGGATGAAAATAAGAAAAGAAAAGAGGGAGGGAAAGATAAGGAGGGAAGAAGAAAGGAAAGAAAGAAAATTTTAGAAAAAATTAATTAAAGAATAGCTGATACCTGGCCCATTTTCATTATACTAGTGGGGAAGTCAATACATATTTGCTGGTCCCAGTACTTGAATTTCTATAAGAAAACAAACTAAATAATCAATATAAATATTTTATATAAAATAATGTACATATAAATAATATATGAATATTGAGTGCATTATATATGCGTGTATATGTGTATGTATTTTTCCCTCAAAGTCCAACCAGAAGCTATGTTCATACACAAATTTTTAAAAAGGTTTCACTTTGATTTTTAAAGGCTCTATCTTAAACATGTATAAATGAGAAGCGCCTCTAGTAGCAGTAGGTTAAAAACATGTAACACACCTAGTTATAAAAATATCCTGCTCTTACACATAAGCACCTACATAAAGATTTCAGAAACTCAGAAAAGTAAGCCAATTTAAAAGATAACCATGTATGCACCACCTACCTTTAACAGAATTAACATTTTGCCATATTTTTTCAGATAGCATTTTTGTAAAGGAATAAAATGTTACAATTCAAAAAATAAAAACCACACATTCATTCACGTGTGTGTATCTGGTATGCATGCATCTTAGTTATTAGCATAAAGGCTTCTTGCTTTACCATAACTCCAGCTTCAAACAACAAATTGAATATAATGCATTTGATTCCAGCTCATTAGCCCTGCTTTTATTATTATTATATATTATTTTTATATATAAATATATATAACACAAACCATTATTTAAATATATATAAATACAATATATTTATAATATAAAATTATAAATGACATATTATAATATATTATATATAAATATAATAATTTTTTTTTGGTCAAGGAAAAGACCTCGCTCTAAATCCATTCTTATATCAGCTGTTGAAAGTTTATTTTACCTCTTTCCCTTTTGAAGTTACATTATGTTATATTATATTGTGTTATGTTCTGTTATACTACGTTATATCAATTATGTACTGTTTAATGAGAACCTTGTTTGTGTCAGGTACCATTAAGTTGGAGATTCAAGTAAAACAGCACTATGAAAGAAACTAAATTATGATGGTTTAAAAATTGGCTTTGCCATTTCACCCTTACGTAACCTAGCGGGTCATTTAATCTTTGTGAGATTTAATATTCTTTATTGTCAAGATATGGGTAATCATTTTAGAAAGATTAAACAGAAAACAGAAAAAGAGCTTATTATAATGCTGACAGAATTGAAAAAAAAACTTAACAAAAGTTACTGTGGACTAATGTGTTGAGGTCTGATTCAGAGGTATAAACCAAATTCACATCCATATCTAAATCACTTCATAAATTTTTAACTTGGGAATATTGGGGATGGCTTCAATGATGAGTTGGAATTTAAGGAGAATTCTAAAGAAACATCAGTTTGGGAAAAGCAAATATGCTTCCTGTGTAAAGGAACAACATTTTTGTGTAATTCTGCAAAATTACTGTGACTTTACAGAGAACTTAGATTAGGATATTATGGAATCTGGTATTACTAATACAGGGTTGAAACTGCAGATCAACAAGTCCCAAATACTAGCAGAACAGTTCTTCACCCAGGTCAAATTTATATTTTTTTATCTAAACACACAAGTTTGGTTTTGAATGGTCATTTTCCCAAAATACAAATCCTCATTTGAATATTTTGAAACTTGTAAAGAAGATGACAATTATCACCAGTAGGCATAAACTTAACATTTAGATTGGGAAAAGCTCTTTTGCTTAATAAGGTGGGGAGGGAAGCTTCAAAATTTGCAAAAGCATTTGATGTTCTTCCATGGTTCAGAACCTAAAGACAGAGCATGACAACTTAGTCAAATTTGATGCATGTTTGCAAAATATATTCATGAGACATCAGTTTCAGGATTCCTGGGAAAGCTATCAAATCAAGAAACACAGTCCATGATATCTGGGAATCTACTACTAGCTGTGTAATCACAATATGCATATACAGCATTAACAAATACTCTTTAAATTGATCATCACTACAACAATTATTACTTATAAGAAAACACAGGAAGTCAAACCAATCATTTAACTTTAAAATGTACTATTTATCAAACACAGAATTCTCCAATTTAATCCTCAAATCTCACATAACCTAACTCAACAACACTAAGCATTCCTGTTGGTCTCTTTACCCTGGAAAACTGGTTCTTGTTATACCTGTTTACTTGAAAGGACATTTACAATGGTAGTTGATATTACTTATTCTGAAAGACTTCACTTACTACACAGTGAATGACCTTTTCACTTTCAGATGTGTCTGTTGGCAGGATTGTCCCTCCAGAGAAGACACAGAACTCCACAGCTCAGTGTGCAGAAACAGTTTTACTTCAAGGGCTTGGTGGTTTAATGGTGGTTTACACAAACCAGCAAGAGGAGGTCTCCCAGATGCCTGGAAAGCTCTGCTGAGATTTAAAAAGCCCTGTGGGTTCCCAGCTCACAACCAAGAAGCT